GGCTTAGGGTTGCGGGTTTAGGGCTTAAGGGCTTAAGGGTTTAAGGGTTAAGGGTTGAAGGGTTTAAGGGTTTAGGGTTTAAGGCTTCTTTTCGGAGCTTAAGCCCTACAACTGAGAACCCCCAAACCCTCAACCCTAAACATGCCTAAACCTGAACCGAGCGTCCTGGAGCCTGAAGCAGCAGCACGCCTGGCCTGCGCGATGCAGCACAAACCGCCAGCACTGTGGCAGATGCTGCCAGAGTGGCCGAAGTTCCTGGAGCTGCTTGGCTGTGGCAATCACGACTGTTCTAAATATACAGAGGGTAGAGGGTATGGGGTATAGGGTAGGGTACAGGGTAGGGTATAGGGTATATAGGTATAGGTATCGGGTAGGGTATAGGGTATAAAAATAAATGGTGTCGTAGGGTTTTCAGAAGGGTTTAGCTAATGGGGATTTACCGGGTTCCCCTAGCAGGTTGAGGGTTTTTGGGAAGGCTCGCGTTGATGGCGGTAATGAAGATGATAACGACGACCTGCAAAGCCATGACGGGAGATTCGACGAGAATCCTGGAATGTCACCTGCACCCGTTCGAGCCAGGAAATGTGGAAAAAATGTTTGAGAAACCAATGGAAGGATGTTTTTTGAATAATGCGCAGCGTTGTGCTTTACGTTTTCGTGGTGACTTGCAAAGGGCCTACCTACTAGTAGGATACTCAAGGACTACAAGGGGTTCTGAAGAAGCTATCGAAGCCCTAAAGCGCGCCTTTCTCCGGGACCTCGTGCACTCTAGGCGCTGGCTTCGTAATCAACCTGAACGGTGCACAGGAGTTGGAGTTTCTGATTCTCTAGCTTTGGAGTCTCCTTCGTCTCCCTTCAAAGCACCATGGGACGCTGTGAGCGCTTCGGGATGTCGGCACACCATGCTCCACGCTTCTTCAGGAGGGCAGGGTGTAGAATCTTGCGAGTTACGGCTCTGGCTAGACCCGTATTGAAAAGCCCGGTTACAACCAGGCAGCAGCGTTGGACACTGAGATCGAGCTACAGGCTAACCAACAGCCGCAAGATCTTAGATCTTAGTGTGTAGGGTAAGTACAAATCCTGGTGTAAATGTGTTGCATTTAAAGTCTGCAGCCTCGACACCCACAACCCCGAAGACCCCAACACAGACACGCCCGGATGCCTAAACCCTTCCTTCGACCCTATAGACTCTAGACCTTGAATCCGGCCCCTTCATGTTGAACCCGCCATCCGAAACCAAAAGCCCCGAATGCTCGCCCCAAGGTGCCTGGTCGCAGCAGGTGCTGGCGAGGAGGCTCCCACAGCAAAAGCCTGACGGTTCACAAGGCCTTGGGTGGCTCACAAACAGAAAAGGATGGCATCGAACCTTTTGGCAAGACTTTAGGCAGCCTTGAGGCTGAGGGTTTGTTGAAGCTGAGGGTTTGTACTTGATGGCTTGGGTCCCGGGCTCGAGGATTGAAATGACTGAGTGCAGGGTGCCAACAATCGGTGCCGGCAAAGTCCTCGTGTTTGAAGTTCAGGTTCCCACCTTCTGAATCTGAGATGCCCTGGAGGTCCCCATTAGGGTTTAGGGTTTATGCTGAAGTCCGTAATTTGGAGGTGTGCTCCGAATCGTTCTCGAGTCGAATCTAGCTGAGGACCCCGACTGGAAACACACCTTCGACTGTCATGGGTCTGTGCGATCGGAAGTCCCCAGACAATTTTGCCCAAGCAAGCCTCCGGGAAAAGCGCCATGGCGAAGACACCGCGAAACTTTAAACTCTACACCCTAGGCTCTGGCCGTAAGCACCTTTGCCTTCAAAAACGAACGAGCTTGAAAAAAAAACTACTAATATCCCATAGCTTCACATCGGAGAGCGCGTTCATCAACCCTCTTTAAACTCAGCCTTGTGGCCACAATGAAACCGATAAGTGCCACTTAACAATTCGATCGGTCTTCGCAATGAAGATCTAAACTATTTGCTGGCACATCGGTGATGATGTTGCTCGAAGATGCCAAGGCTGTAAAACTCAGCTTTTGAGCCGAGAACCACATGCTGCAAACCATGACCGCGTCATGTGGTGATACAACCTACATGGCATGCAGCTTCGGTGGGCAATGTAGGGACCTTAAGTCTTACGTGTGCGGCAGCAGTAGCATGTGCCAGCGTGATAACATGACCATGTTGCCTTTTTGAGTTTCGCAATGCTGCACATTGACCTGCAGCTGGTAGTCCGGGTGCTGGCATGCGCTGCGCGATAATTCGTGTCATAAACAGATGCTGGCATTGGCTGACGCCTCTTGTGCTTGGACCCGCCGGGGTCAGCACGCCAGCTGCCGACACCAGCACTCACCAACAACCTCTCGACTCTTCACCGTTCAAGTCCCGCTTTCTGGCTTTCGTGCCGAGAACCCAAAATCTCTGCCAAATTGTTCGACATCTGCTGCCTGCCCATCACCATTCCATGGTTTTCACTGTTGCTGCTGTTGCTGCATCGTTATGAACCAATGCCAGTACCAATGGCATCAGCAGCATCGATCTTGTCAATATCACGTGTCACAAACCCGCCTCATGATCATGTCTACAATCACTGTTTGTGGAAGTTCATCCGCATTTTTCATTATCAGCATTATGACTATCGCGATTGCAACAGTTCCGACGCAGTCTGCTTTATCATTGTTAACAACCACCAGCACCACTTTTGTTGTAGAAACTTTCATGTTGTAATCGTCGAGCCCATTCTCAACATCAGTCCCAATGTAAAAATTGGTGCCACGATCGTTGTTTTGGCGTGATGCAGCCTTGTGATGCTACTCAGTCGGTCGGTGCGCGGCAATGAATTCCGACAAAAGCAAACGAACAAAGTTCGACAAGAGAGCGCCAACTTTACAAGTGAAACGAAAAGGGAAGACGGTGGCAAAACTAATCTATGGCAGCCTCTGCGACGATGAAGACTATTTCTCATGCTTGAGACAGAAAACACGGTAGATAACCTGTTGTGGGTACCTTCTTGTTGACTAGAGCGAATGTGGAAAGTGTGCCAATACGATTCTGGTCCCGTTTTCACACAATTTTGCTCTCCCCCTCCCGTGAACTGTCTTAAAAATTCGCAACAAAACGGTGAAAAACAAACCTCGGAAAGTGACGACTTCCTGTGCAGAGTTGAGCTGGCAAAGGTTCCACTACTGCGGAGGTCCCTGTCCACGTTTTTTGAAACCCGAAAAAAAGGCCCTGGATTTGGTGGTTGTTGCCACCTTAAGTCCACATCTCAGACTTTTCGAAATTAGCAAGCTGTTCCTAAAATTCCAACCGTTGCTCCAAATGCACGCAAAAAACAGAAACTGTTTCTGTTCATCTGGAACCACCTGACAAAAATATAGGTCCAGATCACTTCAGCTACGAAAAAAATCAAACAATCATGATTGTTTTATATGAAATTGCAACAAACTCGCGTCACACTCTTTCGCATCTGCTTCGCAGACGGTCGGTTAGGCACAAACGAGAACCTTTCCGAAGGGTGGGTGGAAAAAAGAGTTTTTTCAAACTCGCTCACACTCTTTTTCGCTACGTGGGGGTCCAACTGGATCAAAACGACGAAGATTGATTGGTTGAACGAGTCAAAGCACGCCTGCTGGGTGCGTGTCTTTTCGAGCCACGCGCAGGTAGCAGAGACTTGGCAGTGCCAACAGCCCCAATGCAGAAGAAGCAAGGCATGGTCGGCCAAGAGTGGCCGAAGTTCTTGCTTATTCCAACGCAAAAGCACCCAAAGAAGAGCAGATTCCAAACCTAAGACCGTAAGAGAAGTGTTCTCGCATTTGCTAACTGCAACCTTGCAACCCGGTGAGAAAACGAGACACTGGCAGGCTCGAAAAGGCAGCCAAGAAAGCACCCACCCAAAGCCAAAGTACGCCAGAGACAAGTCCAAACCCAGCACGAATGGCAACCTCTTCCAGGTTTTTACAATTTTCTAAGGATAGAGTTCTGAATCTGTCTCCTTGCGGACGCAATCGCCTTGCAAGCACAAAACTTGGTTTGGAACAAAGTCAATGTGTGAAACGAAGCTTGGAAAGCTTGAAGAGCGTGGCCAACTGCTGAAATTGCACCAAGTGCAGAAAACATCAGCCGCTACAACAATTATCTTTCCAAAGAAGAAGAAAGCCACACGAGAACGCGTCTCGGGGAAAAACGAAAAAAAAAGATGAGAAGAAAATGAAACCAAAGAAAATGTCGGGCGCAAAGCTCCCTTCGAAGGCTTCAAAGCCCCTTTGAAGCCTTCGTAAACAAGGCTTTGCCGGTGACTTGAAATCCAATCAGAGCGGGGATGCCGACAAATTGACAAGAGCCGGATAATTTGCTGAACGACTGAAGGGAGCTTGAAGGGCTTCAAGCCCCCCTTGAAGGGGGCCTAAAGGGTCAAACCCTTAACTGGGGAGGCACGTTATGGTGCACATGTTTTCGAAGGGTTTTTCGGCCTTGAACATGAGCCTGACTCGTTCTGGCAGTGGCAGTG